GCGATTAGCTTGCGTGATGAAGGCATTTATGCATAAAATTTCTACGCTTGATCACCATTACACCGATTTTAATTTAATGTTGCGCCATATAACTCATTATTCAAAGTTAAATACATGTATAGAAAATTATTTTAAATGAAAGAACCCAATCTATCCTTTAGTACTGAATAAATTTTGTTTTAACTTTAACATGTTCAACATTTTCAACATGTTTGGTCATATGTGCTCGACTTTAAGTGTATACAAGTAAAATGAGTGGTAGAAATTTATTCTACTAGACACAAATTTCAATCTAAATAAGGGGCAAATAATTTATTGTTTTAACTGTATCAAAACACATTTGTTATTTTATACTTTCATATATTTTCTTGTATAGAAAGTTAGAAACAATAAATTTAATCACAGATAATCTATTTTGTTTTGATGAATATTAAGAATTTTAACAAGCCTTGTAAATTTATTTTAGCTAACTTGTATTTTCAAGAAGGATTGGTGGTAGATTTATTTCTGATTTTAGAGACTACCGAATTTGTTAATATACAGATTTGTAACAATTAAATATTATTCACATTGGTCCAATGTTGGTCCAATATATCAGGCCAACATTGGGCCAATGAGCAAAATGACACTGGGTCAACGTCATTTGCCAACATCGGCCCAATGTTATTGTTGACGTTGGGCCAAAATTGGCCCAGTGTCGCATTCATTTAATTGGACTGTCATGTTGTAAATTTTGAATTTACCGGGTGGCAGTAAATACAAAATTTACAGTTGTCATGTTGTAAATTTTGTATTTACTGCCACCCGGTAAATTCAAAATTTACAACATGACAGGACAATGTTGTCGCAACGTTGGGCCAACATCTGTAGAAATAACATTCTACATTGGGCAAACGTCGGCACAACATATCGGGCCAACATTGGGCCGATAAACAAACTTACATTGGGCCAATGTCATTTGCCAACATTGGCCCGATGTAACCGGTAACATTGGCCCAACGTTGGCCCAATGTTAGCATGCTATCTGGGACAGTGTTGTCTCGACAGCACCTGGCCTCTGCACTTATTTACACAGATTTGTACAAGATATCGTTTAAACTATAAACATTAATTAAGCTGTATCGAAGCAAATATATTATAAATACTTACAAAGTGGATGCAGATATGCAAGGCATCAGTCTCATTCCGCTCGTGTCAGATTAAAAATGGCGAGGATATTACAAGTAACCCGGATGGTGTCTACCCATGATACTCAATCAGATTCATGGTATATTGGGCCAACTTGGGGCCGATGCCAATCCCCCAACAAATATTTTCTCTCATGTAATACCGGGTAGTTTTATGATATAACACCAACAGATAGCCCAACATTGGCCCCATTATACATAATCAATTACATATATCAATATTCCATTTTGGACCTTTGTTGGTCCATTAAATGTAACCAAACAGCGATATAATACAAACATAATGTAAGATTGGACCAACGATGTTCTGCTATCTGGGATTCACATCCTGTTCCTGAGAACTTTTAACTAACAATTATTCAGTCTTCTCTAAATTCTTATGAATACAACGCTCATAAAAAAATCATAATTTTAAGCGTTTTATTAAAAATAAATAACCATGCACACAATTCAAAAAATAGAATAAAACACTCTTTGGTGCTGTGATCACTTAAGTTCAAAGTTAAAATGTTGAAAATATCATATTTAAACAAAAGCAGTCATCCAATGAAAAGCATGGACATAGAATATCCTCTTAATTATTTCAGAATATGCATCTAATTTAATATTTGGAACCAACGCTGTCCCAACGTAAAGCTCAGCAGCTAATTATAAAATTGACACCATCATTTAGTTGGCAGTATAATAATTGGACCAACGTTGGCCCAATATAAATATCCCATCTTTAAAACACCTGAACAAAATAACACTCTTGCTAATATCGGGCCAACGTTGGGCCAACATTCTCTTACGAACTTCATAAGACATTTCTTTAAAGGTGTATTACAAACATTGGACCAACGTTCGGCCAACATACTACTACCAACTTGATTTGACACATTCTCTACGGGTGTATTACAAACACTGGGCCAATGTTGGGCCAACATACCACTACCAACTTGATTTGACACATTCTTTACGGGTGTATTACAAACGTTGGGCCAACATACCACTACCAACTTGATTTGACACATTCTTTACGGGTGTATTACAAACATTGGGCCAACGTTGGGACAACATACTACTACCAACTTGATTTGACACATTCTTTACGGGTGTACTACAAACATCGGGCCAACGTTGGTCCAATATACAACTACCAATTTGAAAAGACACTTTCTTTAAGGTTGTATTATATATATTGGGCCAACGTTGGGCCAACATCAGCACCCGTCCTTCCTTGGAAAGTAAAGTGAATGGAAATTGCTTATGTTGGACCAACGTTGGGCCAATAAAGGAATTATGTCATGGTCGAGAAGGTTGACATGGTAACATGGGTCTAACGTTGGCCCAACGTGGTTCCCCCAACGCCAACCTTACAACCTTTTACCTGTGTTGGCCCAACATAGTCATGCTATCTGGGTTATTCAGGCAAATGTTAACATTACAGTCGGGGTTGATGTTAAAGGGATGAGTTCCTCATTGACAGCATTCATGTTGTCTTTAGAAAGAAAGTCTTTTAAAGCGGAAATTATTTAAAGATATGTATGCCGTGTTAAACATTATTTTTGCACACCTGAAGCCAAACAAAGATTTCTGAAGTATGAAAAGCTATCAAAAACGAAGCATTCTTGCAAATTCGACGAAATATTATTCAGTATTAACAAAAGTACTGGTCGGGAAAAGATCACGATGTTCTCATGCATATTTATAAAGGACTGACGTTTATGCTGGATCTGCGCATGTGCGCGGGAAAAGCATCGCGAGAATCATCAGGTCGAGAAAACTATGTTTTGTGACGTCTGTTCAGTGAGGAACCAACATGACTTACAAATCGAGCAATCAGCTCAATGAGTTGCATTTAATGCATTTCTGGGTTATTACATAAAATACTACATGTGTTATACATGCAAACACGTTATTCGTGCTGCACTCAAGTAACTATTCCTTGGTACAAAAGCTGTGCTCAAGTATTGACAATGTTTACAACGTGTACAACTTCGAAACATACAGTATGCTACTCAATACACGTTCTCTTATTTGCATGATATGAAATAAGAAGTGATTTGTGGTGTCTTGCAATTATAGCAAAAGCCTTTTACACTATGTATTATAGAATACATGACAGAAATAGAAGATAAAAAATACCAATTAAGCATAAAAATCATGGCAGTTTCTCTGAATGCCTGGATACCTATCGTTTTTAAACCTAAAATATATTTGTTTATCAATTTGCAATCAGAAAATGTATTGTTGATATTCAAATTCTCTTTTCCTGCAAAAATATTGGAGATTTGACATATATTATGATTAACTATAATCTTTGACTTTAAAGAAATACTGTTCATAAATTTACATAACATTGTGAATTCAGAGATACTTTTATGAGTAGTTTTGATTATTCAACTGCTAATTTTACAAACCTGATGATCGGACTACCTTTAATTTACATATAAAAAATTTGCTAGTTCATAAATTGAAATATTTTCAGTCATTTTTTTATTTTGAATAATTTAAAAGATTTGATGAATATATAAAGTCTACTGGGTTTTGTTGGGTTAACATTTTGATGTATACAATTTGGGAGCAATATTTATAATATAATATTATTATAGTGTATATATACTGTACATCTAAACCTGTTCTCTTGGTTAATTTTCAAACATGCACATTGTCATATAGTTGTATTTGTTATGTAATGTGCATTGTTTCTAGTACCATATTTATGAGAATAAAGTATTGTCATGGCATAACATGGTACAATTTTGAAGTAGTGTGATTCTGATTTGATATGTTGTAATAAAACTAAATTATACATTGCATGTAAGGATAGATTTAAGTTGGAGGTGGGGGTGGAAAGATTTAGGATATGATAATTGCGCATTAAATTTCGAAAATAAGGTTAAATATGAACTATATTCCTTTCAGTCTGTTGTAATCGGTATTGGATATCAAAGTTTCCATATCTGATGTTGTGACATGGCTCAGCCGTATCCACACGTAAATTGAAAAAAAAAACTTGAATCTTTGTTGGATTATACTTGTCTTTATTAATAATATTGACTTTTGTAGCTCCTTAAGCATGTTAAGTTGGAATTTTTTTTTCAGGATCAGAATTAACGATTTTGTTGTTGTGGTTAGTGTTATAGACATGTGTGAAAAATTTGCTAAAAATCATGCTAGACAGGTTGTGGATGACAAGAAGCCCAAATCTACTCACTTGAGGATCAAAGTTCGAGATCGTTGTCAGAATATGTTCTCAAAAAGATATATAGAATATAAGAATTCTTAAAAATTTGACTCGGTCTATAGCAACTTTAACTAAAATGCTATAGATTTTGCATATGTAGAAGAAAAATTAAAAAAGAGCCCATTCATTTGATGTTCAAATATCAGAGATGAGCAGTATCAATTTAAACATGTAAGAGTTGCAAGGTGACCAATATAATAAAAATACATAAGAATAGTTATTCAAGTGTCAAAAGGTCAAGGACAATAAGATGGTAAAAATGAATGGTCATATATCACATGTATCACTGAATTGTAAGCAGGCCACTATAGGAATATTGAACCCAGGGCAAAAGGTCAATGACACATCTGTGTATATATCTATAGAAGCCATGATTTACGAAATGAATACTTATGTGAATAATTCACATTCCAGAGTTGCATGCTCCCTATAACAAAAAGTGCTGGCGTCTCCATATGAGTGAAAATTCTCAAGAGCGACGTTAAAAATATACAATTTAATAATCATGTTAACGCAATGACAAAAAAAATTACAACATTCAAGTTTTAATCAAACTCAGAAGTATACAATATTTTGACACATATGCATGAAAAGTCTTTAAAATAGAAATAAATATATGAATTTTAAAATAAAAAACAATATCAACAAGAGTATAAACAAATACTTAATGCATCACTGTCACAGAGAAACACAACCATAATAATATAATGCATCGGTGTCACAGAAACACAACCATAATAATACAAATCTACTCTGTACACAACCATTGTAATCACAGATTGAACGTTATGAGGACAGAATAAGGTTTGCATTCAGCAAAAAATACATATTTATCTATGTAATGCATTATGTCATACAGTAAAAATTTCAATAAATCACAAAGTCAGAAAAAAAAATGTCAGATCTTAATCAAGAAATCACTCCTAAAAGTTATTATTTTGGATTTTTTAATGCAACACAAAAAAAACGTCTTTGGCAGTTTCTTATATTAATAAGGCCAGATGGTAGCTGTGAGCCCACGTAGTGCCCATCTCATAGGCGGGATTCCTTCCTTCTTGATGTCAATTTCCATGATGGGGTCCCGTGGGGCTATTCTGGAGGGATAGAGTGGGCACTGGAAGGAGGGTTCCTGTAGGGCAGGTTTCTCGTTAATGGGGTAGCACTGTAGATGAAGGACAGGAAGGGGGGCGTAACCCTGTCTGGAGGCCTGGTCCTGGAATTCATTGGTAGTCTTCTCAATGGAACATCCCCAGAGGTGGATTCCATGGATGTACACGCCCTCTGGTGGTGGCTGAAGTAACTAAAGAAGAAAACAAAAATTTAAAGTCAGAAGATCTTTATCTTAATTTTTTGTGTATATAAAGAAAATTCTCCTGAATATAAACCAGAAGTCTCTGTTGAGACTGTAGCTCTACTGGTTTGTACTTATCAAAAACCATTTCACTATTTTATGTATCTTTGTGTATTTACTTTTGTGCCAACTTATTTCGAAATCAAACTAAAACTGTAGAAGGAGTAGCGTTTTAAAGGAATTTCACAGATAATTCTATTTTTAGTAACCATGGTAAAAACGTTCATCGAAATCAAAAACCAATGCACTATTCTATGTATCTTAGTGTAGTCTATTTGTGTGCTAAGTTATATTGAAATCAAACTAAAACTGTAGAAGGAGTAGCATTTTAAGGGAATTTCACAGAATATTCTATTTTTAGTAACCATGGCAACACCATTCATTGAAATCAAAAACCGATGCACTATTCTATGAATCTTAGTGTAGTCTACTTGTGTGCCAAGTTATACTGAAATCAGACCAAAACTGCAGAAGGAGTAGCGTTTTAAAGGAATTTCACAGATAATTCTATTTTTAGTAACCATGGTAACACCATTCATCTAAATCAGAAACCGATGCACTATTCTATGTATCTTAGTGTAGTCTACTTGTGTGCCAAGTTATATTGAAATCAGACCAAAACTGTACATGTAGAAGGAGTAGCGTTTCAAAGGAATTTCACAGAAAATTCTATTCTATGGGCATCGGTTTTTAATTTCAATGAACGGTGTTACCATGGTTACCAAAAATAGAATATTCTGTGAAATTCATTCAAAACGCTACTCCTTCCACAGTTTTGGTCTGATTTTAATATAACTTGGCACACAAGTAGACTACACTAAGATACATAGAAAAGTGCATTGGTTTTTTATTTTGATGAACGGTGTTGCCATTGTTACTAAAAATAGAATTTTCTGTGAAATTCCTTTGAAACGCTACTCCTTCTACATGTACAGTTTTGGTCTGATTTCAATATAACTTGGCACACAAGTAGACTACACTAAGATACATAGAATAGTGCATCGGTTTTTGATTTAGATGAATGGTGTTACCATGGTTACTAAAAATAGAATTATCTGTGAAATTCCTTTAAAACGCTACTCCTTCTACAGTTTTTGTCTGATTTCAAAATAAGTTGGCACACAAGTAGACTACACAAAGATACATAAAATAGTGCAATGGTTTTTGATAAGTACAAACTAGTAGAGCTACAGTCTCGACAGAGACTTCTGGTTATCTTATTAAAAACAAAAGACTCTTACATGTCCAAAATCTCTGAATGTTGTATCAGTCTGGAAGGTGAACTGTTCAAAATTGCCGGATCTATCTCCACAGTAACTCTTGATGGCTTCCTGTTTCAGCAAGGCAAGAAGTCCTCTAGGATTGAAGAATGCTCCTAACCAATAGGCTGGCATGGCTTTCCTTCCCTGTAACATGCAAAAAATTATAATGCGCAAGCAAAATTTCTTTTTTAAATTATTAAGTATTAAAGAAGAATGAAAGTGGTATTAAAAGTGATAGTTTTGATTTTGTAAAAAAAATTGAGTTCTGAAAAGGATATCCACTCTATGGATCCCCCACACCTTCAAGTATACAATACACACCATGCTGAGGATCTTCTCAAAGTGTTTCCAGCGGTCCTCTAGATCCCGGAGCCACTGAGCGGCGTTATAGGTGTAGGGTGGGGCGGTGGTGCCGGTCATCTTACACCAGATCCTGGGGATCCTTAAGTGGTAGAGGTCATCGGCCGCAGACAGGTAGTGGTCACTCAGCTGGTCACCCATCACATTGTTCTCACAGGCGTTCCTTATCAACTGTAACGAAGACAAGGTCCTTTTACCAAGTTGTCAAAATCTACTTCTATACAATGTGTTAGACAACAGTTCAATCAAAATTCACATTTAAACAACTTCAATATTTCATAAAAATTTTCAGATTCAACAAGTAAAAGGTGAAAACTTACAGTGAGTGTATGTCGGACTTCTGTCAACAGTTGGTGAAGAATCTCACATTCTTTCATGATGAAGTCATTAAAGATAGGGTAGTCTCCAGGTAATTTACGTATTTTCTCCACAACAAACTCACGGAACGACTGAAATCATCAAAGTCATTTTTTGATTACAAATGTAGTTAATATATAAACTACTCAGTCTAACATAAAAATTCTTTAGGAACAACATTCAACATAAACTACCCCGTGTACTGATCCTGATTTTAACCGGAATAGCAATTTGTTTCCCCCCACCCCCTTTTCATTCATAACTGACAATCTAGCATAATTTGAGCAAGACATAAATAAATAAATGGTCATGTATATATTTACCAAGCATATGAAACCTTGCAGTAAGAGAATCATCAGAAATTTGTCAAACGAGGATCAGCAGAAATTTGTACAGCAAAACTCGTTAGTACGAACACGGATATTGGGAATTTACGGATATAGCGAAGTCATCTTGGATCCCCAGCTATATAAATTTAATGAATTTCTTATACAGTTATAACGAATTACGGATATAACGAAGTAATTTCATAGGTCCCAGTGACTTTGTTATAACCGAGTTTTGCTGTAGAGAGAGAATTAATCAGAGGATAAACCACATAACTGTTCCTTTATGTAGTTGTAGCCTTGAGTACTTTACCTTGCTGCTATTGCCAATCTTTGGAGTCTTCTGCAGAAGGTCGTTACAGATTTGCCAGAGTTCCACGTCTTTGAAGCGGATTTTGTGTGTGGCATAGCTGGCCGTGGAGAACACTCCCTGATGAACCACAGAGGGGTTGTTACTAGTTTTACTGATACCAGCCTGGGCAGGTCCTGAAATAGAAGGCAAGAGGCATTGTGATATATTGTTAGATAAAATTCATGTAAATCAAGTACAATTGATATTCAGGTGTTGCTTTGTAGGTATACCATCAAATAGTGTAGGGTCGTGGAAATATCAAGTGATACATTGGACATAATCATCAAATTGTGTAGGAGATACTACCCTGTAAGTAACTATGATTTCCTGTTACTTCCCATCAATTGGTATAGGAAGTGGTACCCTGAACCAATTATCACAAGGCATGCAAATTGGTACCTTGAAACTTCCAATTAAATGGTTTGGGCAATGGTACCTTGTAACTTATCATCAAATGGTATGGGAGATGTTACTCTGTCTTACCATCAAATGGTGTCAGAAATGGAACCCTGCAACTTGCAATCAAATGGTATGGGAGATGTTCAAATGGTGTTGCAAATGGTACCAAATTACAATCAAATGGTGTGAGAGATGGTATCATATTACCATCAAATGGTATGGGAGATGGTACCATATTACTATCAAATGGTGTTGCAGATGGTATTATATTACAATCAGATGGTGTGAGAGATGGTACCATATTACAATCAAATGGTGTGGGAGATGGTACCATATAACCATCAAATGGTATCAGAGATGGTATTATATCACCATCAAATGGTGTTGGAGATGGTACCTTATTACCATCAAAGCCATCAAATGGTGTGAGAGATGGTACCATATTACCATCATTGGTATGGGAGATGGTACCATATTACCATCAATGGTGTTGGAGATGGTACCCTGTAACTTACCATCAAATGGTGTTGGAGGTCGAGGAAACATCTTGTGAGATAAAGTATTGGTAGACGGCATGCTGTCAAAAACTTTGTTCAGTCTGGTGAAGACATACTGGTCATCTCCCAATAAAGTCTGTTAGCAAAATAAAATATCTATTAGTGTTAAACATTTCAAATTATTTACAAGATTCTTAATTTTTCAGACACAAATTGTTCATTTTCAAACATATTGATGACCTAGCAGGTCTGTAATGACTTAATTTGTATTTTGGTATCACTTAAGAAATCAAATCATAGCGGCAATACAATATTCACTAAGGAAAAAAAATATTTTTGAAAAAGCAAAATTCTATATGAATGTAAAAGGACAATGTGCCTGCTACCTATATAATCGGTGTTGATTTATTCGATAATTTCAGTGAAAAAGAGAAAGCTCTACACACTTTTCAAACACATTAAAAAAAGATTCTCTTCATTGTCTATGAATTCCTTGTTCATTATTAGTTAAGCATTCATAAACTTCTTATCAATTTGTGAAGGATCCAATTTTGATGTTCATTTTCAAAAAAAAAAGGGGGGGAAGGAAAAACATTTCTTTTCCTCTAAATCAAATTAATACATTTTAAAGAAATGAGTATTGTCATAAAGCAATTGAGTTTTTTCATCCCTATGCACTAAAACTAATTTACCATTATCACAAGTAATATAACAGTCCTTTTAAAAAGTAGTTTTCAGTTAGAGGGTGTAAACTATAAATATATGTGCCACTACCTCAAAACAACAACTTCCTTTGTATCCCACGAAAACAAAATTCTACCAGTAGTTAATGAATTAAGAATTCAACATCTTATATTTACTTCTGAGTGAGTCCAGCATCACACATACATTTTTTATAAAGAATAACAACAAACAAAAACTTAATTTCTAAGCATAAAAAGAGACCAATTCTTTATCTTGATATGAATTGTAGCAAAGAGTTTCTAATTTTATTGCAGAATTTGCTACCTCACTAGGATTTTAGCTACCACAGTCTTTTACATTCTTATTTACCTCTATTGGGTGTGAACCCTGGGGAATGTATATGAAGCATTAAAACAAGGAGACTTCAAATTTAGGCAGTTTTTAATGAATGAATGCTACCACTTAAGAATTCAATTTGAAAGAATAAGCAACCAAAATGGAAAAAATAAAATGAATCATCATTCATTACAAGTTTGCAATCATTACATACATGTAGGCATAAACACTATTAGTCCAGGACAACTTTGTCTTAAAATATATTTTCTAGGGATCATAACCAATGAAGAATTTTATCTTGAACTCATCATGTACATGATGTATATTTGCACATTTTAACACTGATTTTTTTTCTCTCTTTTTTTATGGAAAAAAATTACATGGATATGGATGAATTCATGCATATGGTAATAGTTCAATAATGGATAAATATGGAAAGTGATATAATTAGAGGGTTAGCTTCATGCACTTGTGATACTGCTGCACAGTGCAATATACACACTGTCAGGTGATTGGCATGATGCATGCATGCAATATATTTTAGTGCCATAGCTGCGCTGCATTTTGTGAAGTGAAATAATATATGTACGCACCCTAAATTTATTCAACATCTTATCAAAATGACATTTTAAATCATTTTTACGCTAGCAGTATTGCATTTTACAAACTCATGCAAATTTAAAGCACTTTAATTTAAAATATGCAGTGTGTTGTAAAATCTAGGATATTTATCAACTTCCTAATTTAGTGTTTAAAATGATTATTGTGCAAATTTCCACACCTTTCTCTTAGACTATAGGAAGTTTTAAAAATAAATTAAACTCTTCAAACATTTCCTAAATTTTATTTGTCTTTAAAACAATATTGTGAAGAATACACGAGGTTGAATATTCAGCACATGTTTTAATAATATGTACAATACAACTGGCGCAAGTTATCATTCCGTTAAAGGCAGTGAATTTTTGGAGTTAACGTTGGTCACATGTTAATTTATTGGTCTATGGTCACACTATCAACACACGGTTATTGCCTACCGCACTAAGTTCATCCTGTTATACAAGGAAAAAAACAAACAAATGTATTGAAAATATAGTATTACATTAATATACTTCCTAAAGAGTTGTATCTAAATTCTCTAAATAAAAATGTTGAAGCTGGGTTTATGAATATAGCATGAAATCTTTCAATCAGAAAGCTTGATTTTAGTTAAGTCTAACCTAATAAAAAATCAATATTATTCATTTTGTGCATAGCTTGCAAAAAGTATAATGCATTAATTCGAAACCGTATTAATCAAATTCACAAGTGAAAGTTTGGTATGCACTTAGAAATGTACAAGGGATTCTCTCAATCATAAATCTCTATTAATAAAGTCTCAATCACATGAACATAAAAATCAAGTGTGATTTTTCAAATCCCACACCACCCTTACTAGAGAGGAATATAAAGGAAAGAAAAGACCATTTATCCCATAGCAAATATCATTGACATGAAAAGAAGGGTGATGTTTCAAATGTATCTGCTGTGAGAAATCAAAGAGAAAAATGAGCCCAAACTGGAACCTGACACAACATTGTGTGAGACTTACCACTACGGTCTGGTGGATATGGCAGCCCTCCGGGACATCCAGATAGTGATTAGGGGCCCCATCCAGGGCCTGGATCAGGGTGTTCAGTCGAACGTTGGGGTTAAAAAAGGCCTGTGGGTGGCGGTACTTCACTACAATACCAAGATTTACAACAGATAATCTTAACCAGCCATTTATCTGATTTTTATGCAAAAAAAAAGAAGTCCTATTACAGAAAGGATAAATTATTTGAGAAATTACAATTATCATATCCCTTCAAAAATAAATAAGATGAGTTAGTCGGAAGCCACTTCTGAGTAAAGCCACTTCAAATAAAAATCTTTGATATCAAAAAAGAAAAAGACTTACAGCCTTTGACTTCAAAGTCCCTTTTGAGGGCCCCAGAGGACAGCCAGAAGTCCACCATGGCACAGAGACTTTGCTGATCATAGAAGTCTGTCACATAGCTACCATACACAATCTGTCAACAGAAACAGGTCAATTATATTGAATCTAATGAAAATTTGAAACTGAAACTGAAAAGTTAAGGTCAAGATCTAGTAAATAACTTGAGACTCATTTTTTGCTGCTAGATCCATAATGACGTCATAATCAATTTCAACTTTCTTTTTCCCGTACTGTACGGCTTTTGCGGAATTATGTAGAAAATAGGGTAATTTCATGACATTCAATTTGAAATCATATGAAAAGTAAACCGGATACCTATATTTAATTTGATATTGGTTTCAAGAAGAGGCTGTGAACATACTAATTTTCCTTGGCCGAATACAAAAAAACTCCCATATTAATGACTGGTTTTCTTAATTTTTCATTGAAAATGACAATTTAAAATGCTGTTTTTCATCTTGTTTACCTACAAATTATGCCCCGAAACACCTTATTTGACCAAGTTAAAGTTGTAAAGCATCAATAAAGGAATGTATTTCTCAAGTTTGATAAATCTGTAGGCACCTTTCATTTACTAGATCTTGACCTTAAACTGTGCAATATAGTTAAGAGCCCCAGAAACTTCAGAATGGAAATAAAATAGCTCCAGTGATTAAAGGACAATGGTTAATTTTTCTCTCATTTTTTTTTAATTTCAACAAAAAATCTCACCTCAGCAACCATGTATCTGATGCCGTTGTAGGAGACAGGTCTTGGCATCTGGGATCCATCTGGAGCCACACAGTTCAGTGGTTCCTTAAACTCATTCTGGACTATTGCCAGGGCCTCCTGCAAAAATGAAAGTAAGATTAACTTAAACTCTTTCTGGACTATTGCCAGGGCCTCCTGCAAAAATGAAAGTAAGATTAACATAAACTCATTCTGGACTATTGCCACTCAGCTAGGGCCTCCTGCAAAAATGAAACTAAGAATTTACTAAAACTAGCTTATAGTCAGTTTACCAGGGCCTCCAACAAAATTGATTATTACAGGTTACACTAAAACAGAAATCGCTTAAGCCTGTCATGAACTGTGTCATTTAGTTCTTAGCTTGACTGTTACCAGTGATTTCTTACCTGCAGACAGTTGTAGCCTATGCTGTAGAAATCCTGGGGACAGTTCCACCCTCCCTGACCATACCTGGCCCTCAGCTGAATGGCAGCGTGGAGGTAACACAGGTTGTGTAGCATTACCGGCCACTCGGGTCGCGAAGACTGGCGCAGGATGTCGGCTTCAAACCAGGAGAAGGACCGAATCATACTGTCCTTCATTACCTGTATAAGTCAAAATATACCGTAAAAAATACAGTAATGCTTGTCTGTAAATCAGCATATTGTGTACTCCAAAATTCTGCCTATCATTGTGTAAACTTAAAATCCTTTTCAATTCCCAAATCTTGCTTATTGTGGTGTTAAAGTGCTTTTCAATAAATTTAACTGTTTTCCATGTCAATCTGGAATCTTGTATAATCTTGTAAATGATAGTAATTTCTTACAAAACCAATGTTGTCCAGAATATGAGACAAGTTTTATTTTTTTGAGCAACATATATGCTCTTCTAAAAAGGGATCCCGGAACTCCCAATTTTCAGAAATTCTCTGTATTTATTTAATACATGGAAGTAGTGGTGTCTGCTTAAAATTTTATTACTTACTCCCAATTTTCAGAAATTTTCTGTATTTATTTAATACATGGAAGTAGTGGTGTCTGCTTACAATTTTATTACTTTCTCAATTAAATTCATGTCTTCTACTCTTTTTTAAGTACTATATCTGACCTTGGGTGTGTCCACCACAGCTTTGATGGAGTTCTGCAGCAGCCTGACTGGGATCACCCCCGGGTCCGCCTGACTGGCCACCCACAAACGGAATCCCTCGGGGTTAGGCTTCTCTGCCAGGAAGGACTCCAGGCTGTTCAGCACATTGGGGGCATTATGAGCATGGTGGATGTAAACCCAGGATCCCTTATAAAGAAGGAAATTATGCTTATTAGTAAACATCACTCAATAATATTTTTCATAACGTAGATGAAATAACTGTAAATAACTTATTTTCATTTGCGAGAAATTTATTTTTACAAAATTAGGCAACACTGTCTGCTCAGGACATTTTATACTTATTTTTATTGTTAAGGATTATATACATGTATAATATAAAAAACAGCATTCATGAAAATTTGGCCCTTTAAAAATCAAATAGCGTAAATTCTTGCAAAAATAATACGTCATGAAAATTTGGTTATATACAGTATTGTATTTTTATATTAATTTTAAAAAAGGGCTAAAAGAACTTGATTAAGGAAGATCCCATTAGTATGTAATCACTTTCAATATCAGGCCTTATTAGGCATATATTTAAAATAATTCTGCCTCCTCACCTCACTGACTGCCTTCCGGATGACCTTTCTGACCTTGCTCCGGGTCGCCTGGGAGTTGTCTGTCACGGTGATCATGTGACGCTGTGCTTGCTTCCGATTGGAGAAATCAATGAACCGGCTCTGGGCGGCCTCTGCCTCAAAGGTGTAGAGCAGGAGGATAGGGAGGGAGATGGTGGACGGGGGGACAGTGGCGCTCTGTTTGTACATGGCTGACAGGTCAAGTCCCATGTCTCCATAGTATCTGTAACAGGAAGGGACACCACTATATTAATATTCTGGAGGAATAATGCATTGACATATTGATTTTGGAAATGCATCAACATTTTGGTTTTGGAAATGCATTGACATATTGGTTTTCCAAACATATTTTTAACTCAAGTCATATACTGCAATTTAAGATAATTTAAGTGAGATTGATAAATAAAGTTGACATTAGCATGCAAACAAAGAGTAAATTCTGAGGATGGTGCTACCAAGTTGCCAACAGTGGTTTGGTACCTAACCCCTAAAAATAGCCAAATAAATGACAGCAACATCAGACAGAATTTGAAGCCTTTTCCTTTGCAATCTTTTGACATGCACTCAGACAGCACAATATCTAAAGCATACATGAGACTCCAAGAGCATCTTAGCTCTATTTTCACAAAGAAGGGAATACATTCAATTTTCTTTCTTCCAGACAATCAAAGGTCAGATTAAAAATAGCTTAAGGATAACAATTTTAAGCTGATAGCAGGAACAATTTTCCATGAAACATATTTTTTTGTATTCTAGAATCTGCTCTTTTCAATTTTGAAAATGTTTTTTAAATAAATAATATTTTTTATTAATTTTTTCATTCTTCAGGTTTGAAATAATCTCTAATTTGCTAATTTCAACATCAATATAATAAAATAATGCTATTAAAGATTTGAGAAAAATATTAATTTCATTAGATTTATTGATCTAAATTTCCTGGATAGGACTTAAAAAAAACAAACATATTCTGGCTTTTATCTACAAAAAATCAAACTCTGCATGTATAATTCTGAAAGAACAACACAATAGCAGACACAAGAGAGATGCAATGCATTCTGGGAAGGCACACAGAACTGTGTGAAGGATTGTGATTGGCCGCCTCCCAATATAAGACACGCCCAGCTTACCCTAAAAACTCCTGTTCTGGACTTTGTGGAAAGCTGACGGAAAAATTACACCACATTTAGTTGATAAAATTCATGTAATTTGAAATTGCAACTTAACATTAAAATCTTATGGTACATGTACTATAGTTTTTGCCTTTAATTATTTCTAAGGATTCATTCAATATTGCAAGGGATTAATTTTTTTAAATACAAGTATAATGAAGCTGACTGCTGTAAAATTTCATAGACAACAGAACTGGAAACAAATTTTTGGTATCAGTGTAGCTGATGGTGTGGTTTTCCTGTCGATTTAAAAAAAATATATAAAGAAAAAATTTAGACATAAACACTGCAGAATTCTGTAGATCTAACAAACTAGATTCAAGAAACATAATTCTTTTTTGTTAAGAACATACTTCAATTAAAAAAAATTATGACCAGCACAAGTATTAAGCTGTGTCACAGTGATCACAATTCAAAATTCATTAAATGATTAATAAAATAAAATCTGAAGAAAATCAAATGACATAATCTTTTTTTTTTTTTGCACATCATTTCCTCCACCAAAAATCAAACCACTTTGGGTTATCTATTGTGCAATATCACATACCCACTATATTCCTTCTTCAAATTTACATTAAACCAGCTAGAAGTATACATATTATCAATTTCAAATAATTTCTTGTTGTTTTTATTTTTCTGTGATTACATGGATTTAAAGGGATATATACATAAAATCATACAGAGCAGACTTGACATATACAGTCATTTTATCATATATTTATTAGTAACTACATGTTTTTTGCACTTGGCTTAAAATATTACGTAAATTGGTAATTGGGAAACATAAACATCTAAATATATTAATTGATACCTATACAGAAATTAAATGAAGGATAATTAAAATTTTCAGTAAATAGAAATGTGCAAGATAGGAATATACAAAGGGGCATAACTCACTTCTTTCCAAGGACCCTCTGTATAAACACCGTGGAGGCCTGCATCAGTCGATCACTCCGGACCGCCCTGACCACTAGAAGGCGTTTCATGGGGGCGAAGTCCTTGCTGTCCATCTTGTCTGGCAGGGGCATATTCTCTGGTTCCTTCTCCACGTTGTCACACAGCATCCTCCATTCCATCTCCCGCCCGTCTTTCGGCATCCGTTCAAACTTCTCCTGGAACCACTCGAAGTGAGTGGCCAGTACCTGGAGATTGTGGAACTGGTCATCGTGCATCCAGTCAAACGGCTTCTTCATCTGGACGATCTTGCTGTCGGGCGGCTGGGTGTAACCCAGTTTTGTCATCACCACGGAGCTGTAGTTGGGGGAGACCAGGAACTCACGTTCACCTGGACCAATGTTACCCAGGGAATCTTCAACCTAAAATAAAATTAAGTTAACAAATTTTACACAGCTAGGTTTAAAACCTACAAAACTTACAGGTACTTTTTCACAAATTTACCTGCTTTATTTTCAATTTATGCTACAAACTTATAAGTAAAAAAAAATCCAAAATTTCTATAGTTAATTTCCTTAATACACACCCCAAACAATATCTAATTCTTAACTAATCTTTGATCTTACCTCAATGGCCAGCAGCAGAGTGAAAATGAATCTATCTCTCTCCAGCAGTCCTCTAGCAAATGTGGTGTAGGCCATATAAGTTATCTTCTCCAGAGTTTCCTCTGCTCTCTGGGCTCTGTAAGATAAACGACAAATTCCATAAAAGTATACAAAGCAAAGTAAAAATTGAATGCAGCATCAAATTGTACTAAGTCTGACATTCAGCTAAATTTTCAACATGTAAAAGAAGTATCATGCAAACAGATTCAAATATTGAATATGCAAAAATTCTCTAACCTGGCTGAAAAAATTATAATTAAATTACATGCAATTCAAAAATCTCAGTATAAAGATTCTTTTTCAAGTACAGATCAACCCTGTTCTTTAGAAAATTACATAATTTATATGGGAAGAAATGTACATGCTAATAGTTTTCGATACTTTTATAACTTACTTACAAATTGAACAGAAGTCATGCATTGCACAGTTTTCCTTTAAAATTTTCAGTGTGGGTTGATTTGTACATGCATTTTATTTTCATGCATCAAATAAGATCATGCAAACACAAGGTTTTAACATTTCTGAAGCATTAGACTTACTCAAAGCCCAAGACTAGCCACCTATTAGATATCGGAGTGAGTTGTTGACTGTTATAAAGAATAGGAAACTATTGGCATGCACATATGACAAGATCACAAATTAATGCATCAAAATTGTAGATTTTATATTATACATGTATATATTTGCTAGAATCAATTTGAACAGATCGACATCCATAATTTTTTTAAAAAATCTTTGGGTATATAAAGCTGCTTGCAATGAAAAACTTTAATGCATAATTTCAAAAAAAAAATCTAAAATTCTATTTTGATTTTTAATTTAAAAACAATTTGGATATTAATCATTTTTGTTCATAATACTAAATCCATGAATCTATGTTTCATATTTTTAATCTTAAGAGAATTTACCCAACAATAAATAACATTTTTCTTAATTAAGTTACATATAGACCAAATGGAATAATGTTAAGAAATGGATGGGAAGAGACATACCTTTCAGAGTGAGCAATGGCGGCATCATACAGCTGTTGAAACTGAGCGTAGGAGACCTGGTACAATGGGTTCACCTCCCTCATGTACTGCATCACATGGAAACACACAGCCCCGCGCCGAGCGAACTCGCGAGACAGCTCACGGTTCCTCGTGTTAGTGGCTTCATTAGACTCAACTCGCTCTTGGCTGCAATTCATGTAAAATTTATATAATATTTTGTAAACATCTATAAAAAATTTTTCAAACATATTTTCAACTTTTAATTACCAAACCCCCCTTTTAAATTTTCAAAGGAGTAGGGAGATTGGAGCTTTCATAAACAATAAGAAAAGTATTTTACCTATCCAGAGTTTCGTCGTACTGTTTCTTGAGCTCGGCCAGTTTTTTGGTGGCGGGGAGTTCATTCATCAGTCGGATGTCACTAGACAGACTCTCCAACATAGACTTTTCCAGCTTCTCCATCAAACATTAAATTTTCCACACCTAAAAAAGCAGAAACAGTTTTCATAATTACCTAACCTACTATATAAATTATAATTAGGCATTTTAAACTGTTTGAGGGTTTACTTTATGTTTTTGTGTGATCTCTCCTGAACTGTTAAAAAATATTCATGCGTTTTGAAAATTTACCTGCTCTTTAATTAATCAAATTTAAATAAAACACACAAACAATCCATTTATTAAGTATTAAATTACTTTAAATTTAAAATATTAATTTAATCTTTATAATTATTATATGTTCAGCTAATTAATAGAACCAAACATTAAATTATTAGTAGGTTAGGTAATAAAACAAACCTAACAAAACAGAACAACAGTTTGACTGTTTCACCGAGTAGTCATTGAATAAGTGTATAATCCTTTACCCATTCTGTAAATAGCATTCAATAACTGAAGTATCTGTTGACTGAATCTAACCATACCTGGAGTAGTGAGACTCTCTCCTCCTCTAGTTTGGATTTCTCCTGGTAAATGAACCGGTCCAATAAGGTTTCCTCGATGTCGGCGCGAGACCGCTGGAAGTAGATCACGGACGTGTACGCCGCCAGGTGTGGTGGTACAATATGGGGCTCCACCGTGGTGTGTAGGAACAGGCGGAAACGTGGATCACACTCCACTTCATGATCCTCCACCTAAAATATAGGATCAATTAATGTTAACAATACATAGAGACTTCATGATCCTCCACCTAAAATATAGGATCAATTGGTAATGTACAACAATATATAAAATATAGAGACTTAATGATCCTCCACCTAAAATATAGGATCAATTGGTAATAACTATACAAAGAGACTTAATGATCCTCCACCTAAAATATAGGATCAATTGGTAATAACTATACAAAGAGACTTAATGATCCTCCACCTAAAATATAGGATCAATTGGTCATAACTATACAAAGAGACTTAATGATCCTCCACCTAAAATATAGGATCAATTGGTCATAACTATACAAAGAGACTTAATGATCCTCCACCTAAAATATAGGATCAATTGGTCATAACTCAAAAATATAGGATCAATTGGTAATAACAAACAAAGAGACTTAATGATCCTCCACCTAAAAATTAGAGATAAATCAATTGACAATATCAATTTACAGAGATTTAATGATCCTCCATCTAAAATTTAGGATCAATTAATGTTAACAATATACAGAGACTTCATGATCCTACACCTAAATTTTAGGATCAATTAATGTTAACAAAACAGAGAGCAAAAAACCTCTAAACTCTATTATTCTGTACAAAATATTGGTAAAATTCATGTGACTTATTTTACTTACAGTGATTTTGAACTTGGCTTTGCCGTTGATGAAATGTTTACAGCTTTGTATGGCATCCCTGAAGCGCTTGTCCTTGGCTAGTTGCATTGTGTCACAATCTGTCACCAACAGAGGGCAGCCCTCAGCCAGACAGTTCTCAAACTGGGAGCGGATCTCCTACAAATACAGGGTACAATATTTAACAACGTCTAACTATATCTTCTCAATTATATTCAGTTTATGGTTCGACTGCTCTGGTCATGTTACAGTTACTGTACAATTGTTTTATAGCCAATTTTGTAAAAAAAAATCCTTTGATCAAGTCAAAATTCTAGAACAAGATCAAACTCTCTAACCTGACAAACTCTTAAAATTTGGTAAAAGCTTTAAAGGAAGCTGAGACTTCAAATTCCTTAGCATCTGACTAAAGGATCTAAGGTTTGATATATTAACTGTATAACTCACAGAATATTTGACCTCCACAAGGCCTGTGTCGCCGTAGAAGCTCCTGAGCCAGTCTAGGACGCGACTGGTGGGGTCACAGATGAGGGGCCAGGCCACCATGCTGTCACTCTGCATCAGGAAGCAGGCATTCTCCAACATCAGCTTAGTGGTGGACAGTCGCATGGTCTCCATCTTGATCACATGGCCCAGTGGTTCCTGAGAAGAAGATTTTCAAAGATTTTTCCAATATATTTCTATGTAAAACTTTGATTCCCCATAATGGCCCCGCCCTTCCCCCAGGGGTCATGATTCCTACACTTTAGAATTTACAATACCCCAGAATGCTTCCACATAAGCTTCACTTTTTCTGGCCCAGTGGTTCTTGAGAAGAAGATTTTTCCTATATATTTCTATATAAAACTTTGATTCCCCATTGTGGCCCCGCCCTTCCCCCGGGTGTCATTATTTGAACAATTTAGAATCTACATTATACCAGGATGCTTCCACATAAGTTTCAGCTTTTCTGGCCCAGTGGTTCTTGAGAAGAAGATTTTCAAAGATTTTTCCTATATATTTCTATATAAAACTTTGATTTCCCTATTGTGGCCCCACCCTTCCCCCGGGGGTCATGATTTGGGATAATTTTTGAATTGTAACATTCACCAGGATGCTTCCACATAAGTTTCAGCTTTTCTGGCCTAGTGGTTCTTGAGAAGAAGATTTTCAAAGATTTTTCCTATATATTTCTATATAAAACTTTGATTCCCCATTGTGGCCCCGCCCTTCCCCCCGGGGTCATGATTTGAACAATTTAGAATCTACACTATACCAGGATGCTTCCACATAAGTTTCACCTTTTCTGGCCCAGTGGTTCTTGAGAAGATTTTCTTAGATTTTTCCTATATATTGTATTTCTATATAAAACTTTGATTCCCCATTGTGGCCCCGCCCTTCCCCCGGGGTGTCATTATTTGAACAATTTAGAATCTACACTATACCAGGATGCTTCCACATTACGTTCAGCTTTTCTGGCCCAGTGGTTCTTGAGAAGAAGATTTTCAAAGATTTTTCATATATATTTCTATATCTAAAACTTTGATTCCCCATTGTGGCCCCGCCCTTCCCCCGGGGGTCATGATTTGAACAATTTAGAATCTACACTATACCAGGATGCATCCACATAAGTTTCAGCTTTTCTGGCCCAGTGGTTCTTGAGAAGAAGATTTTCAAAGATTTTTCCTATATATTTCTATATAAAACTTTGATTCCCCATTGTGGCCCCGCCCTTCCCCCGGGGGTCATGACTTGAACAATTTAGAATCTACACTATACCAGGATGCTTCCACATAAGTTTCAGCTTTTCTGGCCCAGTGGTTCTTGAGAAGAAGATTTTCAAAGATTTTTCCTATATATTTCTATATAAAACTTTGATTCCCCATTGTGGCCCCGCCCTTCCCCCGGGGGTCATGATTTGAACAATTTAGCATCTACACTATACCAGGATGCTTCCACATAAGTTTCAGCTTTTCTGGCCCAGTGGTTCTTGAGAAGAAGATTTTCAAAGATTTTTCCTATATATTTCTATGTAAAACTTTGATTCCCCATTGTGGCCCCGCCCTTCCCCCGGGGGTCATGATTTGAACAATTTAGAATCTACACTATACCAGGATGCATCCACATAAGTTTCAGCTTTTCTGGCCTAGTGGTT